ATGGGAGCGTGGTGTTCCGACGCGAGATATTGCCATCAGCCTTGGAGTGTCAACACGCACAGTCCAAAGGTGATACTAAGATGGCGGGAAGAAGGTAGTTTGGCAAACAGACGAAGGAGAGGACGACCACGCGTGACAACACCGCAACAAGACGAAGAAATCATTGCAGCCTCGACAGCAGACCCCAAGAAGGCATCTTTAACTATCACGCGAGAACTGCATCTCCCTTGCACTCCACAGACAACCAGACGTCGCCTGAGGGAGCGCGAGATCTGCTGTCATGTTCCGGCGGTCAAAGAAGAACTAAAGGAATGGCACCGTGACACTCGTCTTGGTTTTGCTCTACATCTTGTTGACGATATTGATTTCTGGAAAAATGTAATCTTTAGTGACGAAACTCACTTTACGTCGGTGGAGCCCAGAGCAAGGCATGTCTGCGACGCATCGGCACAAGATACGATGCTCGCAACATTTAGAGAGAGCCAGGAGCGGGAGGGTGGGGGTTAGTTACTGGGGCTGGATGTCGAGCTACGGCCCAGGGGAACTGGTAAGAGTGAACGGCACTTTGAACGCCAGGGAATACATATTGATATTAGAAGATGTGATGCTGCCAACAGTAAGAGCCATGGCAATCCCTGAGGGCGAATCCATCATATGTGTGCAAGACAGAAGCCGCATACACACAGCCCACATTGTGACCGAGTGGTTCAATAGGCACCCTGAAATTCAGGTAATAGACTGGCCAGTCAAAGGCTGTGATATTAACCCTATAGAGAATCTATGGGGGATAATGAAACAAGAAATTGTTATGGGACCAGAACGTACATGCGATGCAAGTGACCGATCAGTGAGAGAGGTATCGGAATCTGTGCGACTCAGACCAAACGTTTGCGAACGCCTCGTAGCCTCTATGCCGACCCGCCTCAATGAGGTAATTGACGCCCGCGGTGGTTGGACCCGCTATTAACAAGGCAGCAACTTTTACAAGTATTTGTATTTCTACATGCAATATAATGCATGTAATGCAACAAATAAAATCACTTCCATATTTATTTGTATTTTTACATGCAATATAATGCATGTAATGCACTCAATGAAAGTGTTTCCCATGTTATATATTTTTATTTTACATGCAATTCAACAAAATACATCCAACTGTATTGTTACCCTTGTTAAAAACAAATATTGGTAACTCAATAAAGTTGACATAAATACAAATCCTATAATAGATTAGGATATCCTGTAATGTCTCCATAACATAGAATAAAAGACTAAAAGAGAGAGCAGGTGCTTAGGATAACGCAGAGCCATATATCAGCTTAATATAATGCAAACCAAGGAAATTTCCGCCAAATATTTCCATCAGATTAACAACTAAACAGAAATAATTATCTCTCTCTCTCTCTCTCTCTCTCTCTCTCTCTCTCTCTCTCTCTCTCTCTCTCTCTCTCTCTCTCTCTCTCTCTCTCTATATATATATATATATATATATATATATATATATATATATATATATATATATATATAAGTCATTATTTAACTTCTTCGCCTGTTTCCGTACTTTCCCTCCTCCTCACATTCAAACCATCCTAACTATGTTCTGGTTGTTTGAACGTGGGCCTCCGTTCAGGGTAAGAAGGGCATGATCTCTCCAAGCCAGGGCTGGCGAGGCGTCACCGCTTTTGTAACTGGCTGTACATATATATATATATATATATATATATATATATATATATATATATATATATATATATATATATATATATATATATATATATATATTTCCACACACACACACACACACACACATATATATATGTGTGTGTGTGTGTGTGTGTATGTGTGCATATATTATATATATATATATATATATATATATATATATATATAATATATATATATATATATATATATATATATATATATATATATATATGTATATATATATATATATATATATATATATATATATATATATATATATATATATATATATATATATATGTATATATATATATATATATATATATATATATATATATATATATGTGTGTGTGTGTGTGTGTGTGTGTGTGTGTGTGTGTGTGTGTGTGTGTGTGTGTTTGTATATATATACATATATATGTATATATATATATATATATATATATATATATATATATATATATATATATATATAACGAATGTAAGGAAAAATACCTGAACGCCTATTTTAAATCTTACTAAGAATTATTTCTGATTTGTTTTAGAAATCATCAAACTTACTCCTACTGAAACCTTTACCTACTCATGTGGATAATGGAGCATGTTTAAAGATTCAATAATTCACATCCGTATTCAGAAATACTATACACATATTTAGATTCCTGTGATAGCGTCCAGAGTTGTTTGAACAGGTGAAATATGTGTATATGAAACTGCAAATTCGGAATACTATATTATACGTTTGTGATCATCATAGAATATAATATAAATACTTTTCTATGCATTTATGAGATAATGGGTATTGAATTCAAATCCTTTTGGAATATCCATGCCCAGTCAAATTAGTTTGTCGCATTTACGTATGCTAGATTTGTCAGGCAAACCCGTCAGACTAAAATATTTTTTTGAATATCATTCTTACTTTCATTCCCCACTGACAGAGTTGTCGAATATTAAATTCTTCATTGCGAATTCAGTTACACTTAATTTTGGTCCCACAAATGAACACACACACGCATCCAAACTGCATTAACACTCCTAGCAGAAATATTTAGGTAAACATTGTGAAATTTTATTAAGCTTCTACTATTGTCGCTGTAAAAATAAGTCTTTGGAATCAGGTCAACTCACTACAAAAGGTCACATTTCTTTTCGTGAGATGAGATTTTCAGGTTTACGAAATTTTCTTAGCAACTGCCTGAAGAGTCCCGACGCGCTGCAAAAAGAACCAAGTTGGAGTTGTCTTTTGTTAGTGAGTAATCGGGGAAGAGCCAGACGAAAATCTAAGAGTGTGTATGTGCCTATACCTATGTGTGCGTGCCTGTGCGTGCGTATTATGTACGGGTGCGTGCGTATATGTACATATGTGCAAATAAACGAGAGGCAGAGACACCACATCGTACGTAAATCAGTATAGGAGAATGTGAAATGAAAATAAACAAATCTTACCGTCGTCTTTCTACTAATGCTGAGTCTATGTTTATTTTTGTAATCAGACATTGTTAGCAGAGAGAAAGTAATTAAGACCATCACTGACTTTCCTAATAAAACACCGATGGAAACAAAGTTTGCTCAGAAAAATAGGACAGAATGAGGGTAAGGAGGTTTCAGTCTTCTCAGAGATAATTTAGTTAGTTTCAGAATTTTACTACTTTTGTGTTTCCATCTGACAGGAAATAAGGACCTGAATAGTGTGCTGACATTACAGATTCTAGGGTTTGATTCAATTTATTTAATGGTAACTTCAAGTGTAATTTGTTTTTTATGCCAAAACTATATTTTCCTTTCCTTGGAAATTGTTTTATTCACAGCTTATCATCTGTATCTAAGAGATAATTGCCGAGGGGCTCGACGTGTCTGACAATAAACGTCTGACAATTGATTTTACAAAACACATCCATCTATAAATTTATATATATATATATATATATATATATATATATATATATATATATATATATCCCATTCGTACCCATTATAGTAAATTTGTGACAAATTTTTGGTACCCTTTTTCCACGAGTTTTGTAGAACGAGGATACATGATAGTGTCCCTTTAACTATTGCTTCGTTTTCTATGATTACTGACGTATCGAAAACGACCATTTGGAGCTGCATTTAAACCCTCTGAGACTGTCATGGAAGCCAAGAGGTGAGCAGAGACCTAGGATCCTCAGATTTTCATCACCATGGGTAAGTTAAATTGAATTCTTGCCTTCCAAAGCAATGTTACTGATATATAGAAAATATAGCATCATTGAGTAATGCCAAGAGATGTTGTTAACCATTAGTTATTGATATAATCAATGATTTTAACAGGAGGAAAAAAATGATGAAGTAGCTTATGTCTATGTTAGCACATCGGGAGTTTCACAATGTAATAATTCTGCATAGTTGTCATTATATATCAATATTATTCCTATAGAAATATTTAGGATACCAGGATGTATGGCATCTGTGAAAAAATTTTGTCAACAGTTTTTCCCTGTAACATGTAGCATAAAATATTACTCCTATAGTGACCTTGTGTGATGGCAGGCTGAGGTGTGGGCCATTTATGGCACACTGGAAATACCACACAGGATTTGGTCTCTATGTAGTTTACATTGTACTAACATCATGTGTTATGCAATAAGGATTCTATATTGTAATTTTAGCTTACATAATGTGTTTGGTAGTGCAGAGTATATATTAGAGAGGTGTAGTCACTTTGCTCTTATTAATTTACTTAATTTTCTCAAATATGCCATTGTCATGTCTTTCATAGATGATTGGCAAATATTTTACACAACCCTGACTCCTCAATATTTTTTTTTCAGATTCTGATATCCTGTTGCTACTGGGGATTCTGATGCAGAAGTCCTTTCAGAGGATGAATGGCTTGAAAAATTCCCCATCCGAAATAATGAAGACAGTGACTTAGAGGAGGAGGAGGAGGAAGAAATGTTTCCTGCAGAACTTTCATCCTCAACTGAAGGTCAAGAGGAATCCCTAACACAAAGTCATTATCAATAGTATGTAACTCAACAGTAAGAAGGCCCTTAGTAAGCAGAGAGCTTGGGTTCCACAGGGATAGAAATTACAGGCAAGTATTCCAGTATTCACCAGATGAAGTTGTAGGATCATCAGAGCCTTTGTCTCCAACTGACTATTTTAATGGATATATATCAGAAAATATATTAGAGTCACTTACTGTACAGACACAAAATCATTATTTTGTTAAGACTGGAAATCCACTTCAAGTAAATAAAGATATCATGAAGAAATTCATTGGTATAAATTTTATCATGGGTGTACTGAAATTCCCCAGGCAAAACATGTACTGGAAAGAAAGATTGCAGATGCAATGGCCAGAAATCTTTTTCAGGTTTTGAGGGCCCACCTTAAGCTTGTTGATGACATTACAGTGGCTCCTGCCAAAAAGAAAGTAAACTCTGGAAACTTGAGCCTTTATTACTCAGCATCAGGCAGAGGTGTATGGAATTGGAGAGAACCCCCTCCGTTGCTGTGGATGAGATGATCCTCCCTTTTACAGGTCGTACTGTCTTGAAACAGTTTTGTCCAAGGAAGCCAAATCCACATGGACTCAAAATCTTTGTGCTTGCTTCACCAGATGGCCTTATCCTTGATTTTGAGTTCTATCAGGGGAAAGAGCAACTCATGAGTTCCGTGGCCATAACGAACTTGAGAGTTGGTTTCAACATTCTGACCATTGGTGAGGCTGGAGTCCTAAGATTTGTGAACTCTGTACCCTAAGGAACCTCATTCTACTTCGACAGATTCTTCACCACACCTCGACTCCTTGA